ACACACACACACACACACACACAAACTTGCACGTAATATCATCATTCAGGAGGCAGCTAGCCTGTCCCGAGCTTTAACCTGCCCTTGTCTCTTCTGTTCGGAGTCAGCAGGATTGTCTATGACGCACACACACACACTCACACACTCACAAAGTTAGGCCCAACATTCTTTGTGTAGTTTGTTTTATCCCTGTCTGTTATCATCCCCAACATTCATTCTCTTTAATGAGCCAGTCACAGCCAGGTAGGGGTTGTGTTAACACATTATTATATGCTGGCGGCAGCTTTAATGATATGGACTGACTGCATTCATAGGGAAAGAAGAAATTATTTTTTAGGCCTGGTATGTTTTCCATATATTAAAGAAACACTGTGACTGCAGGAGGTATCATCAGAAACAGACACACACTGTCTCCCATGTTGAGATTAAATGAAGCTGTTTCATAAGCTGGTCATTTTTTTAGTTTCACTGTTTTCTGCATTTCATCGTCATTTCATAGAAAAGACTGAATGTCTGTGATACATGGAGTTTTTTAGTATACCAGTGATATGTGAATGTGCAGTTGTGGCTCTCCTCCAATTAATTTAGACACAAATCTGCTCTTGTTACGGACTTTGGTAATTTCTTTTGCCTATTTCTCAGATTGAATTTTTCTATTTCATTTATTCTTATATTAATAACAAAATACAACAATTGTGCTAACTTCAAACCTCAGTGGATCATGTTTCTTTTGCTGGGTTTAATAGCATTTCTGACTTTACTGATGTCGTTACAAGGTTGTTCCGTTTGGTTCCGAGGTAATTTCCAGGTATTGTTAACTTCTGCGAGTCTGTTGGTTTTTGCTTTTTTTTTTTTGTTTAAAAAAGCCTTTTGAGACTTCAAGGAGGCAGAGGTGACATTCGGTTTTAAAAACCATCTTCTGCACAGAGAGTTAATACCACTGATGACAAACAAACAGCTGTCAAAGGTTTAAGATATCAAACTAGTAAAATTCAAAGTGTTATGACCTGTTTAAAGTATGTGTGAAGCTGCAAGAGTGACCGATTTGTAAGGCTCATTTATGCTCGTTAGATACTTACAAGGAAACCGACCGAGCCTTCTTTGCGTGTTCTGCGTTCTTTTTATAGTCGAAACAGACTTCGTACGATTGTTGTTGTTTTACCCGGGCACAGGGACAAACTGCTGCTTTTGCCTCTTTCTCAAGAGCGCTGCCCTCTAGTGGATGTATTGATTAATAGCTACGCCAATGTAAGGAAAACATATGGGCAGTGACATTGTTTGAAATGGGTTTATCTCTTCTCTACATAAAGGCAGCACAAATGAGCCTTAAGTAGAAGTAGGTTTGAGTTTTTCCTCCCAACTTTTTCCCATTTTCTCTGCCGGGGAAAACAATTTCACTTCAGAATTAATTGTGTAAAAATTAGATTGAGGATCAATCCCAAAAGTCACATCAGAACTGGTTGTATTTTATGCTGCTGTGGGAGATGTAGTCCAGTGAAAATTGCCGGCATGAAGACATATTAATTTTGAAAAATCTCATGATGCCTTGCAAGCAATTTAATGTTGATGATGATAATGATTTTAATCGTATTTATGATAATGTAATACAGCCAGCCTGTAATGACTCTGACTTTCAGGTGATTAATGGAAAAAGGATTCTGTCTCAGCACATCACTGGATTCAGAACTACAGCATCTAATTCTTTTTTTCTTGATCTCTTCCTGTATGATTTTTCTCCTTCCCCATTGTATTCATATTTTTCCTTGTTTCACTCTACCCCTCTCCGTCACTGCCTTCCTTCTTCCTCTGACTGTTCCGCCTTAGCCTCCCTAACACCAATTATACTGTGTCAAATCCATGCATGTCAGTTTCCAGATCCCTAATCATCCCTCCTCTCTTTCATCTGCAAATCCTTTGTTCCTCCCTCCTCCCCCTTTTCCCTTCACTGTAACCTTTCTACTTCGCTCCTCACCCTACCCCACCCCTCCGTCTGCTACGTGCACACGCAGCCCATCCTCCTCGTCCTCTTTCCATTTATCTGTATCACATTTACCTTTTTCGCCTTCCTTTGATTTTTCTTTTTTCTTTTAATTTTCGTATTTCAATTTTATACCTGCCTTTCTCTCGTGCACCCTTTCAGAGACCAACTTCATTGCATAAATGCGCCGGCAATTTTTTCCACATTCTTTTTCATGTTTGAATTTGCCCTCAAGTCAATTGTCAGTAGAAGTCGTGAAAGGTAATCCTCCGAGGTCAGACCCTGTCATGGCTGTTTTTCTGCACGCTGCAGTAAGAGCCTTTCACCTGCAGCTCAACGTCTTAACATCTCGTGCCTATTCTCCCAAATATGACAGAATGCATCAGTATTATGCTGCCACATTTTTATTGAAGAATCACTTTGCCAACTAACTCAATATAGCAATTATAGCTGCTTCACAATAAAAGCCTTCACCCTGAAAGTTTTAGTGTGAAGCAGCAGCTTGTGCAAGGACTGTCGGGTGGCTTTAATCGCAGAGTAACACTGCAACATCAACCTCTATTTATAGTAAATGTTTTATAAAATAATAATCAATATGCAATTTAAATTATATTTTACAACAAGATTTGACCATTTCCATTCTAAATGTCCCTCACAGCACAGAACACCCCACTAGGCCTGGAGAAGGAGTAGCCTCGGTCAGCTTGTTTTTGTTTGTGTAAGGCTCACACAAGACGTACTTCGAAGCTAAAATTAACTAGCTGTGTCCTGGTTCTATGTTAATGATATAAGGGAATCTCCAGTGATTTCACACATGAAGCTCATCACGAGGATTAATGCTTATAGCTCATGACGCGCCTCCTGTTTTGTCCTCCGTGTTTATAAAGGGAGAGTTTTAGAAAAGTCTTTTGATATTATAAAATCTAGTAAGTGAAATCTTCCTATTTGAGTTTTCGAAAAAGCAGAGAGTGGAACGCTATAGGCTGTTTTTTTTTTTTCATCACAGATCCACAAATTTCCCCTGGGAAATTGATGAAAAAGTCAAAAAATAGTGTTGCAGTGTTAAAAATCATAGAAGAATCTGTTTCCACAGACAGGGGTGAAAGACGTAGATACTGAAAAATACAGGAACTTGAACATAACCTTCTTGATACAGGATCAAAATGACTATTTCAATCATAGATCAACCCACTGTGCTGCTTGAAAACAAAGCAGCGACCAACAAATCCAGCAAAGTTACAGATCTGATGTCTGAAAAGCGGCTTGTGTTTCCTCCACCCATGTCGGATTAGAAATGTGTAAAGGTGTTTGTGTGTTTGTGTGTTATGACCAGAGTAACAGGGGGGCAGGGCCAAGAGAGGGGGAGAGAGATGGAGAGGGACTGGGAGGTAGGGGGAGGGGTTTGTTTATTTCTGTTGTGGGCTCTTTTTTTTTTTTTTTTTGTGGTAACTGCGCCTTCTGAGTCCACAGGGAAAAAAGGAAGGGGGGGAGAGAGAAAGGGAGAGAGAGAGGGACACAGATGATGATGGAGGATGAGGGAAGATGGTTAGCAATATGAGCGGCTGCCAGGAGACGGGAGGCGAGCGAGAGAAGAGAGGGATGCGTGGACACACCAACGGGTAGAGGCAGAGAGCGCGTGTCGGTCCGCCGCTCGTCGCCCCAAACAATGAACATGCTGTGGTCGCTGCCGGCAACACATCGTCACGGCAACCGGAGCCAGAGGGGTGCGCACTGAGTGAGAATGGCAGAGAGGGGGAGGAAAGAGAGGAAGGATCTGTCTATATTTGAGGGAGGTGGGGGGGGGGTGAAAACACAATCTCTCTTTCCGTGTTTGTGTACGTTTGTGTGATTGTTGTCTCCGCTCGATCATGTGTGTCTGTATTTGGTCGTTGTGCGTTAGCGGCCAGCTGTCTGACACTATGATCTTCTGTAACCATCTAGGTGAATACAAGAAGGATGAGCTGCTGGAGGCGGCGAGGTGAGTATCACACTCTTTGTTTTCCTTTTTTTTTGCCCGATGCTTTCTCTGCTTTGTGTCATCCTTTCATGTTTTGTTCCCTCTGTTCTTTCTCCTCTTCCATGTTCACCTGTTCTTCTCTCTCATCTCTCGCTTCCTTGCTTACTTGTTTTCCTTTCCTTTCCCCTCCCCTCTTTTCTCCGTGTCTCCTTTCCTCTCATGTTTCATCTCATTTCCTCTCTTTTCCCTTGTTTCCTCATATATCCCTGTTTCCCATCTGTACCCCTTCCCTCTTGTTTTCCTATCCTCCCCTTCCTCTCTTCGCTGATCCACTTATGTTTTCTGTTTCCGGTCCTTGTTTCCTAATCCTGCTCTCTTGTTTTTCTGCTTCCTCTCTTCCCTCTCAGCTCCTCTGATGTTCTTTGTTTCCTGTCTTTTCCTTCCTTATATTTTCACCCTCTTCTTGAGTCTTCCTCTCCTCTCTTGTTGTCTGTATTTTTTTCTTTAATTTCTCTCATTATCTCCTATCCTGCCTCCTCCATTCCTTCCCTTTTAATGTTTTTACTAACCTTCTCTACTTTAACCTTCTCTACTTATTTGCATTATTTCCCTCTTTTTTCTTTCTCGCTTGAATTCCATCCTCCAACATTTCTCCCAACTTTTATTCACTCTGTCCTTTTTCCACTTTCTCCCACTGTGGAAGACTGTTTTTCACTTGTTCTTTCTTTCTCTCCATCATACAAATACACACTCACAAACACAGGTTCGCTCTCAGCTCCCACACTAGACAGGTGTTTCAGATCCAGAGAGCTCAGTACATGTGGGCCAGGGACGCACATTTTTGAGGGATTTAATGGTTGCAGGCAGTGCATGTAGGCACTGTGTGTGTGTGTGTGTGTGTGTGTGTGTGTGTGCATGTGTGTGTGTGTCTCTGTGTGTGTGTGTGTGTGTGTCTGTGTGTTTCTCTGTGTGTGTGTGTGTGTCTCTGTGTGTGTGTGTGTGTGTTTGTTTTGCCTCTTGCATGTGGAAACACCTAGCTTTCATTTGGGATATGTGTGGGTGGCTGAGCGCTCAATGCCTTAACAGCCCCCTCTTCTCTCCCTCTCTTATATACAAGGAAGCAGCTGGCCTAGCATCGCAGTACCCCAGTGCATTATGGGGTCGGCTGGCTGTTTAAGTGTGAACTGTGAACCCAGTGTGCCGTTCTCACAGCTGAGCCACGCTCAGGATCATCACCAGTGTCATTCTTATCTTACTATAATTTTCATACTTTTATACTGTTGTGTTTGGTCAAATAACGCCAACACATGGCTTATGGGATTTTGTTGTTTCTCTGCCTTTTTTTTATTTGTGGCCTAGATCACGTCCTTGCAATATGGTAAAATAGAAAAATAAGCTGTTGTTTTGGTTATCCCTAGTCTGAGAGTAGTGACTTTTTAATGTACACCCTCTACAGTTAATAGTTACTTACACATCTCACTGGCATGCAGCTATGATAGCATTACTGGCTGTTGAGCTGCTAAATGCACTATTTTATAGCTAGTCCCTTATTTAGTTTGTCTTGCCAGTTGGCGATGGGCAGGTAGTGTACAGTGGGTTTGTCAGAGCGTTTGTAAGTGTGTTTTAATTGTAAGCAGCAGCCTCCTTTGTCTGGAAAAAAAAAACATGATTTAGTGAGAGTGAATCAAAACAGTTGCAGTGGTTCATCAAACCAAAACAATGAGCTGAGAGATGCTAAAACACTTTGGTGATATTTAATATTCAAACAGAAGTCCCGTTGCTGTAAGAAAACTTCTAAAAAGCTTTTTAATGACCTCTAAGTCTTTTTAACTGATGGGTATTAGTGGTACTGCTGTTGAACTTAATTGCTGGGTTGGATTCAGGCAGTTTAAGCCGCTGACTATCATTCAGTCAGGCACCTCTCGTGGAAGATCGTACCCACTCGCCAAAGTTAAATAGTGCATGAACAGGGCGGGGGAGTGCGAACGAAAGATGCACAGCTCTCCTGATTACAAGTCAGTGTACCATCAAAAAGATTTTTGAAGGGTTAGGGTTGTTTCAAGGTAAAATAGTTGCATAATATTGATTTAACATGCAGCTTAAGTGATTTGGAAGGCTTTGGGATAAGATGTAAGAAGCAGGACTCACAGAGATGCTTTTTTGTTTCCTGTTCACGTATTTAAAATGATGTTTGTGCGAGTTGTCCTTTCCCAGCCACCGCAGATTCTTTATTTGAGATCCTACCTGCAGAGCATTTACAGTGAAAATAATGTTAAACTCTTCATGTCGTGTCTTTCAAATGCAAACAAGACATTATAAACATTCTCTCCCATTTGAAGCCACCATGCTTAGTGAAGCTCTTAATGTTTTCTATCCGTCTTTTGACCTGATTCTTTGTCAGTACGGCTGTGACAGTTTCAGTGGAGTTGAATTGTTTGCTAGCGTCCTTCATATTTCGTAGCAAAACAACTGAACAAGGCCCACTTTACTGGTAGAGAGCTGATGCTGGATCATGAGGCAAACTACTTCAGAGGGTCTGATGTTCTTCTAGTCTGTATATTCATAATAACAACAGGTCAAATAACTCCCACCCCTCAAATATAAATTGATATACACATTTTAAATACAAAAGTCACAACCTTAAAATACATACATCTTGAAACTGACATGAATTCCTTCTCCCCTGTTAAATCCTCAGAATGTTTTTCGCCTCAGAATGAAGGCTCTCGTGTTTCTGGTACAAGCAGTGGGAGTTGAATAGCAGAGCACAAGACAAGGAATAGAACAAGCGAACTGAAAGAAAGATGCTGAGCAGGGGATGTAAAGGTGGAGACAAGGGGAAAGATGGACAGTCTGGCGAACGATAGACAGCAGATAACGGTGGCTGGATAGAAAAACACAAGAGCATGAGAGAGAGGAAGAGGATGTGAATACATGTTTCTACAGAAAGAGAGTGAAAGATTTAGATACAAACAGAAGGAAGGACACAGGAAAACACAAAAGTAAAAAAGGAGAGAGAGGAGGGGAACATGGAAGACGAGAAGAATAATCCCTTTCTCTCCATTCGAAAGCTTCTTCCTTTACGGCTGTCACAGGGATGATGGTTGGTTTGGCCACTGCCCTAGCAACACTTCCCACTGTTCATCCAATGCCAGGGCAGCAAGCCTGAGAAGCAGGAAACACAGATCAACACCATAAACAAAATCTAAACTCCTCTGTAGCTACACTTAACGCTCTCCTCCATCAGATCCTCTGTAGTTTGTTGCCGTCAGGTTTACAGGAAAACACACATTCTTTCATTCGTTTGCCAAACATTTCTTTATGTCAGCCTGTTTGCGCAGATGAAATTTCTCAGCCTTTCCCCTTCAGTCTCAAGCTTCTTATCTCATTCTCCCTCATTTTCTCCCCCTCACTCTCTCCTGCTGAGCAACAGCGTTAATCCTCTTCGGCGGTGGACGTTTCCTGTGTGTGATGTGTGTGTTTTTCTCTGTGTGCGTGTGTACTTTTGCAGGAGTGGGAATGAAGAGAAGCTAATGGCTTTGCTCACGCCGCTGAACGTCAACTGCCATGCGAGCGACGGCCGCAAGGTAAGGGCAGACGCACATGCACACACACACACACACCTAGATTGTCTCTAGAGCCGAATTCATAGGTTATGTCCTTCGTTCTGCATGCTCTACCTAATAAAATAATACAATCTTAATAAAAATCCTGATCATTTCACCTCAAGAAAGTCATTGGAGTTACAAAACTATCCAAAAGGTGCTTTAAGATTGTATTTATTTACTTTTGAAGCTGAAACTAATTATTGGCAGCTGTCGCTTTCATTGTCTCCAATAGCCTGAGCTCTCTCCGGCAGGCAGCAGCAGCCTGTCTTGGATTTTGCTCATTAAAACGAAGAGACAGAGACACACACTCTTCAGTAAATATATTAGCACTCGAGCTGAACAATAGCTGTGCATAGCATCACGCAAAACAATGTCAGACTCGGGGACGGCTGTTTCTACAGTCCCCGAGAACAAATAAAGAGGGATACAGCAAATAATGAGCCTGTTGTTATTATTTCTGCTTTTGTCAGTTCATAGAGGAATACAGAAAATGTGTAGATGCTCTTATTCAGCAGACTTCAGATGAATTTGTTAAGAGTAAGAAGCAGATGACAGTTATAAAAAAGCAGATGCGGTCAGTGATTGTTCACAAAATACACCGTTCTTTACACTTTACAAGCCAAAGAATCGATGATGATTTTCAAGAGCCTCAAACTGAGAAGTTCTGAGAAGCTGCTGGCCCCATTTTCATTGAAAAACTCTGGAGCTGTGTTGTAATATGGACGTGCAAAAACACAGATGTTTGGAAATGAAAAAGTTTATTGTCAGCTACACCTCATCTTGAACACCTCCAATGTAAACTCGAGTTGTGGTCTTGGTTGCACGCTTAGTTGTTATTTCAGTCAAAAACCTTTCAAATAAGTAAAAAGAACACAGACAAAAACAGAATAACTCTTTGTGTAAAAATATCCAAAACAAAACTGCTGTGTTCGTGCACTTAGGATATCACTTAATTTGGAAAAAACGTTTTCAGGCCCTGTGCAATGAAGTTCCACACAGAGAGAAATATGTGGGGTTTTTTGGCAGTGGATTCTTTTTCACACAAGTGGAGTATTTTTGCCAAAGAGCTCATTGAAGTGATAACCAAAAACCGTACAACACATAATGAAGAAAACTAACATTCGATTCCGCACCCTACAGAAGCAGCACTGGGCTGTGAGGCCTGGTGGGCGTTGTGGCCTCATGATGAATTGCAGGTCACGTGATTCACGCTGGGGACAAAAACACTTCCCCCCCACCCCTCATGTATAATCATGACAAAATACGTCTTCATACATTTTTCCGGGCGTCGTTACTCACCGTTGCAGTTTGATGCAGTGATTGGAATGAATGATAGGAACATGGTTGAGAGGAAGGAAAACCTGATTAATTAAGAGCCACTCAAGTGTGGGTTCATTTCCGGCGGTGTGATACACAAAGCTGAACATAATGAAAGAGGCTCAGTGAACTAGAATGAGCACAATTAACAGCTTTTTTTCCCTCCTGTGCTGGTCACGTCTGTATTATGTGAAGTGTGTAACCTGATGGTAATTACTTGTATGCCATACTCGCTCAAATAATGTTGTCTCAGAGTGTATCGGCCAGATTATGTTGCATGTGCAAGTTAATCCTGGATTTATTAGATTGCAGAATGCAGAGGGAGACTTCAGAAATTGCTATGCGTGCTAAATGAAATATTAGGTAGAACCTAAAGTACATTGGCCAACAGAGAAAAGTGCTGCATTACATCCTATTCACTTAATTGAAATTATTTTGTGGCGGCAGCATCCTTTCATGCATCATGGGGGAGTCTTGAGCCTCAGGTTGAGTCGCAGCAGTATTTGTCTGGATTGTGACTGATTAGTGCTTTGGATGAAAAACACACTCTTCTCTAGTTTAATATATTCTATCGTCATTCTCCCTTAGGTATGGAAAAAGATACATCGGTAAAGGTGGAGGAGGCTGTGATAATGACTCTTGTAAGAAAGAGGCAAAAGCTGCAGCGTTGTAAACGACGGTGGTCCAATTGACCAACTTGCAAAAGTTCTGCCACTGCTAAACTTTCTCTCCGATGATTCTCTCCCTTGAACTATTGGCTAAATTTCCGGTGGTTACGTCCGTATTTGTAAGATTTCAGAGAACTTTAACAAATGAGGATGAAATGAGCGCAGGGTTCGGACTGAAGGCTCTGTTTGTTTTCCTTAATGTATCTTAGCTTAAATGAGCCTGAGCCTGTGGCTGACCCTGTTTTTCCCCGAGATCCAACTGAGAGCACCCCACTGTGCACGGACAATTTTCCAAATAGGTTTGGGGGGGTCTCTTTTGAGCCCTCGTCTGTGCCTCTTGGGGGTTTATTCCAAACTCTCGTCAGAAAAGAAAAGCTTCTGCAGGAGCATTGAGCTTGTCACTTAAACTGTAGACTCTTTATTTAAAGTCCCATCTATCTAGAAGGGGAGGACATCTCTATAAGATATCATGAACAGCTATTTTAATTTAGGCAATTGTTAACTTATTGGTCATTCAAGCAGACCCTGCTATATTTTATTGGTTTCTATGACAACTGCTGGGAAAACCAAGGAGCCTTTAATTCCGTACTTTTGGTAACTGTCATACAAATGCAGTTAACAGTCTTGAAGAGGCTCCTTCCTATAATTATGGGCACTTCATGTTACTGACGATGCTTAGCTGCTGCTTGTATCCATCACCACCGTACCCGTAATTGTGAAGGAACATCCTCCGGCTATTATCCGCACAGGTGGCCTGCCGGGGATGTGGTACCCCGAGGGAAAACCGTGTAATTTGAAATTCTTTGGAGATGCAGGAGACAAATGCGGGCGATCATCGAGTACTGCTGGAATTTAATGGTTCATAATTAAATGAATGCAACCACGGCCAGAATATAAATATTGTGCTCAAGACATTTTCTGAGATGACCTCTCCTGCACACGTCTGTATTTATAATGCTCTACAGTCACTCAGACTGAGAGCAGTCATGCACAGTAGATGGAATATATTTTCACACCAGTGCAGTTTTATCCTCGTTATGCTCTTTGAATAATTTAATGGGGTGATGGGGATTTACTTTCCCACTGCTAACAGAAATTATCGAGCGACTTCTGCCTAATAAATACAGATGTATTTAGGGAAATTGAGGGACAGTGAAAATTTTCCCTCTTGACATCATTGTTTTCAAAGCATCTAAACCGAATTAGTGCATTGGAAAGTTTAAGAATACATTCAGGGCAGACAATAGGTACGTGCTTATTACATATATTATCTTTAATAATTCAACAATAACAAGTGTGTACTCACTCAAAACCTAAAATAAATGAGTGCAACACATTAAAGTTAGCCACAGACCTGATAGGGGATCATTCTTTAAACATTTTTATTAGATTAGCGATTAAATTACTTTTATTATTTGGCATATTTTTAATCCTTCAGTTACTGATATTATCATAAAAAAACAAGCTGCTGTGTGTTTTGGTTGATTAAAGGTGTTCGCCTCATGCTTTGTTAGTTAAAATGTTAGTCGACACATTGAGCATCTCTCAGCTGATTCTCAGAGAAATCGTTGTGAGACGCAGATAATAATTACAGACAAAACAGAGAGCAGCAAAATCTTAATGTTTGATGATAATGATGATGCTTCACTTAAACTTAAACAAGAGCCACTTCCTTCTCTCTCGCTGTCTCTCTCTCCACCCCTCCTCCTTTTTCTTGTCTCTTTGATTTTAATTAGAAGTGACACAAGCTCTCCGTCTCACTCTCTCTCTCTCTCACACACACACAACCACACACACACACGCACACTTGTACAAATGGATCTGGAGCATAAGCGCTGATTGCAGACGCCTCTTGGTGAATTAAAACGCTCAGCTTGTACACAGCTCACACTCAGGAGAACAGAGGGGGAGCAAACAAGATGGAGAGAGAGAGAGTGATCGACTAGTTGGTCAAAACTATGTGAACCCCCCCTGACCAGCATATAGATGTAGTGTCCACATACATTTGGCAATGTAGTGTATCGAGCAATTTTTTCAGGCTGTGTGTGTGTGTGTGTGTGT